GTGTGCCTTCACTAGATTATGATAGTCTCCCTGAGATGTCTCAGGAGGTTAAAAATGCCTGTACCACTAAAGTGGATTGGTCCAAGCTCACAAATGAGGATAGGCTATACTCTCTCCTCTCTCTCCTCTCTCCCTCCTCTCTCTCTCCTCTCTGGCACTTTCTGACACAATACTTACCTGGATAGGCTCACCCCAGGGATGTCAACTCTGTGTGTTGATGTGGGTTGCAATGAAAGCTCTCACCGTGAAGACCTCTGTAACATGTATGACTGTATTGTGGGAGCTGTATGGGAGGCCAGTAGACCGTGCTATACCTACTCTAGGAAGAGACACAACGTCAAGCCAGGGTGGAATAAACATGTGGTTGATCAATACGCTGAAGCCAAGAATGCTTTTGGGGCCTGGGTCCGGGCAGGAAGGCCCAGAGAGGGGCCTGTCCTGGATCTCAAAAAGCGTACAAATGCTAGATATAAATATGCAGTTCGTTATGTCAACAAACATACAGAAACATTGAGAGCGGATTCTATGGCTGAAAAGCTCCTTCATAATGATGTGACTGGCTTCTGGAAGGAGGTGAGAGCTCTGAACAAGGCCAGTACATCGTTACCATGTACCATAGAGGGAGTATCTGGAGCCGATAACATAGCTGAGTTGTGGAGGCAACATTACTCTACTATACTTAATTGTGTTAAAAGTGACCCCTACAAAGTTGGTAATGTTGTGAAAAGTGACACAGTGGGAATCACAGCTAATGAGGTTTATCGATCAATTGCACTGCTAGCTGATAACAAAGCATGCGGCTCTGACCGAATCACTGCAGAGCACCTTAAACTGGCAAGCCCGAAGGTTACAGTTCTTCTTGCCATTGTTTTACCGGCCTCATGACTCATGGTGTGTTGCCAGACTCCATGTTGACTGTTACCTTGGTCCCTGTCATTAAGGACAAAGCGGGCAAGGTAGGGGGCTTGGATAATTATAGACCAATTGCTCTAGCCAGTGTGTTATCCAAATTCCTGGAAAGAATTTTGTTGGACAGATTATGTTCTTATTTTTGTACCTCAGATAACCAGTTTGGCTTCAAGGCTAAGCATGGTACTGAGCTATGCATCTATGCTTTGAAGGAAATGGTAGAAACATATAGAAGACAGAATTCCACTGGTTTTATTGATGCCTCTAAGGCTTTTGACCGAGTTAACCATCATAAACTGTTTTTTAAATTGAGACAAAGGGGTGTGCCTAACAGTATAATTAGGATCCTGGCTTATTGGTATGCCAATCAGTAGGCCCTCCCTTGAGACCGAGGAGGAAACGCAGCTTTCCTCGTCAACTGCCACCAAGTCCGTGGATCATTCCTACGGTGGACCCACGGATGGATCCCTCCACCCAAGGTCCGTGCAGGTCGACCCTTCTCTGGCTCCCCATCTGGATCCTGATCCACCTCCCTAATATAGGAGAAACAACCGGACCCGCGGAACCCTAGGGGTCGGCGCTGGGCTGTGGCCTATTCGCCCTCTTCTACCTACCTACCTACCAAAAAGTTATAAACATACTTGGATTTCCCGTACCCTTTTTTTCTCTCTCCTCTTTTCAATGCACGCTTCATCCTTCACCTTCGCGTGGTCCTCTTCAATCCACTAAGATTCCGACACTCTTTCCACCGGGTTTGTTGAAAATCTTTTTGTAAGTCTTTTTTTTACAAATTCATTAGAAATAGTAAGGTAGTTATTAATGTAATTTCTTGCAATATAACTCTTACAATGAGTAATTGAATGCTAAGTAAATTGAATAAAAGAAGGTTTTCAATTAATAGGTCTCGGGAGACATGGTGGGGAAGATAAATGTACATTACAAAACCAGGACGGAGGTTGGCCACCGACGTGGGCCGTGAAAGATCGGTCTCTCACTTCTCGTACACTCGTCCCTACGATCATGAATACACATGTTATCATCCAAGTGTGGCGCATGAAAACGTCATGAATCAACGGTCCGTCGAATTCACGGGGCCGTGAATATGGGGTCCCGTGATTTCATGGTTAGTGTGGCCTCATTGAAAAGGGACTCCCTTAAAATGCGTTTACTCGGCGACTGGCAGTGAAGCAGAAGAAAACGAAACCCAAATGAACCCGTCCGACGTTTGTTGAAGTGCCGGCATATGACGACGGGCGTTAAGGGCCGGCCTCAGGTGCGCCTCAGGGGCGGCTTCAGGACCGAAGTCATCTTCGACCGGTCCCTTAGGGTTCGTCGAAGAAGACTTCGGAAGTCTTCATTTAGACGGTCTTTGCGGCTGTGGAGAATTAGTGAGGTGGGGAAGGTAACAAAAAAAAACACAAACGGTATTCAAATAAGAAGAGGCAACCACACGTCCTGGTTACGGATTATTGTCGATTACGTGTTTATGTTACTGCCGAAGGTTGTTTGGGTGTTTGAAAGTCTTCAAAATGCCCCCGCCACCAAACGTTAAACGGGTCGTGGTTAGGGTCTTGACCCCGGTGAAAAAGGGGGTCCTTATTCTTGGGGGAGAGATCGTAATTTTTTACCTTCCGTATATTCCCCATGATTACCCTTGAATTTTCCCCCTTTTCATGCCCTTTTTTATGAGGCCACACCTTGCGCCGAGTACAGTAGTAGTTGCTGTATTGTTTAGTCCGAAAGTTTTTTCTTTTCTTTCCTCCTCTTTTCTGTTCTCTCCCCTCCATTTCCCGGCTATCATACCAGTGTGTCAAAAAAGTTTTCTTTTCCCCCCACACCAGGGTACTCACCACCTTTACTCAGACAATCGTTCGCATCAGGTAACATTTAAATGATAAAAACAACATAAAAAAATGATGACTGTAATTAATGACCAATATAGAGGTGTCTTTTAAGTCTCCAAAAAGTAAAGTTACAGGAAATCGACTGTAAAACTACTTACATGCAATGTAAAAATCGTCGATAAGTATGGATTTAGTCAACACGGGTCCTGGTTGTCTGGGTAGAAATCCGAGTCGTCGGGGACAGGGGGTATTACACTTGGACTTGGTCGAAAAGAGGCTTGACTTCCTCCACTCGTCGTACACAACTTACTGTACGGTAAATTATATAGACTTCCCTCTGACCTCATGTTTTATATATAAATAGTTTTGTTTTTCGATTGTAGATTTAAAGTTAATATGTAACAGTTTGTGTCGTAAAAAAAAATTTACATACGTAAGAACAACTTCTTACAAGGAAAGCTTTTGCAATAATAATTTTTTCCGTTAAATGTGGTATTTTCTAATGATAACTTCTAGAATAAACAGTCCTTTACAATCAGGAAACATAGTTTATTCACCTTAAGATGACGCGTCTTGTAACGTGTCAGATGTGTCACAAATAAAAGTGTCTTAGTCACAGTCATTATAAGGGAACGTCAATCATAACCTGATGTTCTATGCTAAATTCGGACATGTCCATTTCTCAATAAATTTCGTATTTTAAATCTGGCCAACCCAAAAGACCTCCACAAGGCAATGTCGTTAACACGGAAAACAACCGCACAAGGACACGGACCACCCACCCCGGGGTTACACTATTATAATAAGTACCCCCGGGTTTTAGGGACCACCGCGGGGACGGATACTAAATGATATACGGAATTATAAGTATTACAGTCGCCCTAACTCCCCTCGCCGCGGCGCCTTCTCGTCTCACGCTCACTTCTCCACGAGAGGTAGAAGGGAAAATGGTTCGAAAGTTTTTACATAAATAGTATACTTAAAACCTTTATGGTATTGTAAAAAAAATGCGTTTAAGGTTTTAAATAAAAGTTTTACTCTACAACGCTGTAGGCTGACTAATAAAGGAATAACATGTGCAAATATAATTAAATAGAATATAAGTCACAGAGACTAACAATACGATGTCCATCCTGTCTCAGTACAGAATTAAATTCTAGAAACCTATATAGATTTTGCAACACAATGCCTACAGAGAAAAGGACGTTATAGCCTACAACTTTCTCGACTTTCGACGTCAAAGTACAAGTGACTACGTCAAGGTACAAGTGACTACACGTCTACAACACACAAGATACTAACATACGATGTCTAAACTTATATTACCAGTTCCTGGTTTTCTTTCTTCAACAGGCGGGCAGAAGAAACTCTTTGTATGTCTTGGCCGTCTGTCTGTGGCCCAGTTGTGCAGGCTGGTTTTCATTTTTATTATTAAATTAAA